TTGGTTCTGTGAGTGGCTGTTTAGGGTAATCAGGAGCACCTGTGACACCCAGTGTGTTCCTGGGTTACTTAAGGGCTGACTGCAGTCTAATCTCTCTCTACTCTGCTTCCCTCCGCAGGTATTGCATCGGTCTGGTCATGGGTTAGTTTTCTTTGTTTAGGACCTCTGCATTTACAACACTTGCACAGACATTCATGCATACATCATGCACACACACCACTGACTATGTATTCCCACAACCCCATATTGGTTTGGTTTTTAATTTGATATAATTTAAGGGAATAAAGATAAGTTTTAATTTTGAAACTTGGTGTGTCTCTCCTTTTGTTGCGGCCGTCTTGAGCCAGGTCGTAACAATACACAGTAGTACAGGCAAGATGAGAGCGTTTCTTCAGGATTAAATCAACCAGCAAGTTTTGCGGCATGCACCTCGGGGATAGGCAAGACACTAAACGTTCACTCTCGCTGTCTCCTGCATCCAACGAATGGCCATTCGTTGAACATGGCGAACCTCTTCAGGTCCTGGCAGGTCTTCAGGGACACAAAGACAAACATGATGGTGTGATGATGGTGAAGCTGCAGATGCTGCCCAGAGCTGTCTGTCTGTACGCCCGGAAAAATGTCGTCCCCTCCAGCTGTATGTCCGTCTGGGATGTTGTCATGGAGCCATGTTTCTGTCAAAGCAAACACACAGCAGTCCCTCCACTCTCTGAGGGTTTCTCTCAGCAAACGTAGCTCACCCAGCTTGTTGTTGAGAGAGCGAACACTGCAGAGTAGGAGCGACGGTCCTGCTGGTCTGGAGGGGTTAGCCTTTAGCGGCTCTCTTCCTCCTCCTTTGTTTACGTTTGTAGCGTTTCTTCTCTCTCGGGTAACTGCCAGCGTAGTCTCCGATCGGACTCCGTGTTGGTGTAGTCTGTCCAAATCACAACCGATCGCCGCAATTCCAGCGCCGTTCACCGTCCTGACGCCCAGCAAAGTCTCCCGGCCCCAAGTTTTGCGGAATGAACATCTGGGATAGACAAGACACACAAACCGTTCACTTCTGTTGTCTCCTGAAGGGGCCACTGTGTCTATGCGCATCGCCATCACCATGCCAGTAGTTTTAATGATAAAAAATGTGGTAAATGCAATAACCACAGTTAGCCGAATGTCTCAGAAGGCGTCTAAGGTCTGTTCTGAACTATTGAACATCAGCAGAAATGCTTGTTGTCACACAGACAGAAGCGCTGATTAGTCTTTAGGCCTCAGTACATTGTGTTTAGTTCACAGGCTGCTCTGAACATTGACAGACTGTCCAGATTGTCTGTCTGCCTCAGGTTACTGATGTCTTCTAGCGCTCGTTCCAGTGATCTTTTATGTGATGTGACGATGCACAAATCGGCCTGATCAATCATGATCAGCAGCACTGCCAGTGGTGGCGCCTGCACTGACTATCAACTCCTGAGCAGTGCTGCAATGTAGCTCTGTGAAGAGGCTGTCAAGTGGAAATGCAAGCGAGACTTACAATAAAAGTTTGGTTCTTGCAGTGGCAGCGCTCAAGTTTTACTCACCACCTCTTTAGCCTTACACAAAGGAGCATCTTTATGACACAACTACGTCATTTTTACACCAAAACTAACAGCACAGCACAAGTAAAACGTGTGAGGTGCCTTATGCAGATGAGAACACGAGCTGATGAACCGTAATTGCAACTCATCGCTCCTCATTGAGTCTGGGTGGGCCGAGGTTTAGAACTGCAGGGTGTTTAATTGTCTAATCTGTGTGTGTGTGTGTGTGTGTGTGTGTGTGTGTGTGATGCTGAATCCTTAGAGGGGCGGCGTAGTTACACAACCCTTTGAAGCAGAAAGAAATAAGAAAGAAATTCATCTGTAGTCAACCGTGACAAGACACGATGAGATTGAATGAGAGCTTTATAAAGATGTTGACAGGACTGCTTTTTAATAGAGAACAAGTTCCATTATTCTTGACTCAGCGTTCACTGCCAGTAATCTCTCCACTTTGAGTGTTTGTGCTTGACAGAGAAATAAGTGGGAGCGTATTGTCAAGAGCTTGTGACATGTGAACAATTCCTTTGTCTCCTCTCTATCTTACAGGTTGCAGTAGGAGTGTCATCCAAGCCGTCTGTTTTCACATTTGTGCCGGTGGTGCAGAAATTACCAAGTAAAAACATTGTTGAAGAGGAGGAGAGATCTGCAGCTCTGACTGGAAACCAACATAAGGTACAACACAGGACATACAGAGGATGGTTTCAGCCACTGGTTTCCATTGTCTGGAGCATGATTGTTTCTTGCATTATGAGGCATTTATCAAAAAGCATGTGTTAGCTGAGTAACTATGTGGGATTTTAGCATTATTTCAGCTTCTGTTTGCGTTTTCTAAACCAACCTTTTCTTGCTTTTTATTATTTTGAGAAGCGTTCAGTCACCCACCAGCCCTAAAGATGACTGCACTTACCCTGTTTGACTCGTCCGTCATCAAATCTGACTGAAGTAATTTTGTTCTTAGACCTGCACCTTTGTGTTACAAGATTAGAAGTTTAATGCACCCCTTTCAGAAATAATAGACCAGACATGCTTTTGTGTCCCACAAATATTTTTTTCTCAAAATGACTCAAAGGAATCAAACTTGACATTTTCCCACAAAGTACTTTCACCTTTAGTAAAGAGTGAAAAATAACTTGGATGCGCAGAGGATAACCTTTTAAGGTTCATGGACAACATAATGAGTGGCAGATTCCCGTTTTACTTTTTAATACGAGGTGAAGCTAAAATTCAGAAAGGTACATAAGCCAGAAAATCAAATTCTGCAACTTGTAATCCTTCTCGAACAATCCAGTCTCTGGCGGTTAATCATGTCAGCAGCTTGAGGATTAAAACACACACCTTAGCTACATGGGAAGACTCAATCTCAGTCTCACCTGCAGCATTTTAAAACGTCATTCTCAAATCGCAGAACAGCCACCAGCATGACTCATCGTCAGAGAGAAAGAGGCAACATTTATAGATTCGCCGGCTTTAATGATTTCCCCATTTGACAGCCTGTTGACGAGCATTTCATTCATGCAGCATGCTGGACTAATTTGAGTAGAAAATGAGAAACATATTGATGTCTACTTCCTCCTGCATGAGTTCCACCAAGGTTTTCACGCTTTTAGACATAACTTATTGATGTGATTTGATGTCATCTAAGTATTTTATGTATTCCATGAGCGCGACTCCCACCGCACACCTGAATTCATGATGTTTCGAGATGTACGGAATGATTCGCCTCCACATCAAACATATTCCACAGCGACCGGCGGGCATCGACTCAGATGTTCTGCTGTCAGTCAGATTCAAATTCTACACTTCAACACAAAAGTGAAGAAGAAGATATATGAAAAAAAAGACCAAATATTAATGAATAAAACACAGAGATCCATTCACAGTATTGTTTTCTTCCTCTCTTTAATTTTTCCTGTCCTTTATCCTAACTTTAGGTAGAAACTGCTTTAATGCACACAAACTAGAAATCTTAACCGACAGTAAGTGAGAGCAGCCGTCACTAGGGGTTGATGTCGACCCCCAGTGGTGTCAGTTGCTGAGGGCGTTAATGTGCTATTGGATGCTCATCCAGCATCAACATCACAGCAGCGGCAGCAGCACAGCTCTGGGTGCCTGGAGTCAGTTTGCTGGCTGCCTGCATACAGACTTCAAAGGTCCTCTCACTGGGGGTGCGGCACCATTAGTTTCTCGGCTTTCCCCGGTCGCTACAGGAGTGGCAGCACTTCAGTGTTTTTAGCTGAAGACGCAGCTGCAACACTGTGAAAAACCCGTGTTTTAGCGCGCTTCAAGAGTGCTACCTTTTCATACGTGCACAATATTGTGTCTGTTTACGTGTGTTTAAATGCACCGTCACTGTGTTTTGTGTTCGATTCTCTCTGCCATGAATTCATCTCTGCTCCATTTCCACTCCATTAGTTGTTTGTCCATTTCTGTCTACATCTTTCATTCATACTCTTGTTTTGACTTTTTTTTTCTTTTTGCATCATTACCATCAACTTCAAAAGGCTGGTTTTTGCAGCACACTTTGCTACTTCGATCCTTAGATTTGACAATACTAGTAACATTCCTGTGTTTACATTTTTGTTAGTGACACAGCACACTTACATTTTTAAAAGTGAATCTAGTCATTATACAGAACAGCGGTCTTCAGACTATATCTGTTACGGTGGATTATTGAAGCATTAACATTTAAATGCATTCAGTGTTGTAGTTGCTCAGTCTCTGGTTTGTTTCATCTCTAACAATTCACTCGGACTAAGGAAGGAACTGATTAGATCAAAAGGTCACTGATCTCACAAAACACATTGTTCGCCATAACTCAGGTATTCATAAGCGAAATAAGACAAAGTTTCGCACAAATGTCTAATACGATAGAATGATGAAGTAATTACATTTTAAATCCAGAAAGGTCAAAGGTCAACTTCACTGTGATTTTATATTGTTCTGCAAAAGCATCTCTCTGGCTGCAGCAAAAAAGGGGAACAGAAGGGGATATTGTGGCCATAATTTACATTTGGTTGGATGCTGAATGAGTTAGACACTAATTTAATTGGGTGTCCACCCTGAAACCATGATTGCGTTGATCTTCTGTGCTGCTGAAGACGTGTGTGAAGCATTCAGATTGTTTTTTCTTGCAGCAGCAACAGAATCCAAATTTCAAGTGTTCACTGCTGTCACTGCTGCAACTTTATATTTAACTTTGTTGGTCAAGTATGCAAACATATTTAGAGGATTTGCCTCAACCTTGTGTTTCTTTTAACGAATCTAATACACTTCGAAGTCTTACTACATTTATTATGTGAATCTGGATTGACATGGACGTAAACTGCAACTTGTGCTATGAAAATAAACTGAGCTGTAATCTATAGTTGTTGTAAAATACATTCAGTGGGAAAAAAAACTATGATATTTCCCTCTGAATTATATGAAGTACATGTAAAAAAGGAGTCTGGCCTGCATTTGTTGTCACAATCAGTGTGAACACAAGATTCCCTTGAAGTCTTCTTGTCTTTGTGAAAAAATCGGTTATTTGTGACATTTGAGGTCACTTTTGTTTTTTTTTCTCCACATCTTCGTGCTTCTGGTTCGAAGAATGACACCCAAATGCATGTCCCCCCTCAAACATGACAGGAAAAGAATGGTAACAAAGGCTGCATTTGGCTGTCAAATCGTCCGCTTTGTGAAGCCAAGTTATGAACTCCTCATCTGCGCACCACTTTCCATTAAGAACAGAAAAAAGGCTTGTGTTTGGAGTCATCATTCGCTCCTCCGTCACAGTCTTAACTGCTCAGCTCATTTACAGACAGACACCCGGATTAACACGGTGTCAGAGAGCAGCATCAGTTTCACACAGTGACTCAGGATCTGACCGAACGAGGCAATCATGTTGGATTTTTTTTTTATAAACTTCCTCACTTCTTTTTCTCAACTTATTTTTAAATATAAAAACACCCGCAACTCAGATGTAATTTGAATTATTCTGGAAGCACTCGGTCAGTTATGTGAGTCTCCTGACTAATATTTTGAGTGTTGGCAATCCAATGAAAGTAGTTAGAGAGTAAAGGTAATGTCTTTCCCCATATCTGGAGCTATTCCTTTAACATGCTTTTTTCTTATTCTTCTTTTTATTTTTTTAATCTTTAACCCTTTATGGTGCAAGTGACCATATTTGGTGACTTCCTTGGACATTCAATGTGTCCACCGTGTGCCTCTCCTTGAGGTTGAAGAACCATGTGCACTTTGATTTAGTTTTTATATTAGTGCCAATATCACTACTTTGTCACTAAATAAATGTTCCAGGCACTTTTTAAACACGTTGTTACTGGTTTGCATTGAACTCCACTTTGATTTATTTTTTGAGATTAGTGCCACTAATACCACTAGAAACATGTCACTCAATGAACCTGCCAAGCACTTTGTAAATACTTTGTTAGTGGTTGTGTAAGTATCATTCCCTCAAACTAAAATGTTTCTAAATGAATGTTTTGAAATATCCTTTAATTAAACCCTATGGTTGACATTTTCATTTTCCAAGTATTTCAAGGGTTAATCCTTTTGACACAACTCCAAAAAAGGTCTTTCCTTCTTGCATTCAGTGTGATAAGATCTGAACATTTTAGAATGTGTGGGTTCGAATGCTGCCAGAGTGTGAGGTATGTTGATAAAGTCTCACAAAACGTGTTCAGCCAGGTTTATTCTATTTGCCAGAATCAGAAACACTCCAACACAAAATCACTGTCTGTGAGTTTTATCTCATTCGATCACACTAAACTGACACCAGTGTCTCCTCCAGTTCACTCATGCGGAGCCAACTCGTGACTCACTGTTGATTTTCTCCTTCTCACAGCTCCTCTTTATGACGCAAACTCTCTCACATGTTATCAGGTATTATCCTGTTAATTGTGTGTAAGGAGAGAAAAAATTGGTTTGACAGTAATCCAAAATATAGTTAACAGCTGTTTGCAGCTTGGACTGAGTGACATCTTGTTGCATTTACACATGACAGATTGGCAGTAGTCCCTGAGGTGAGAGTGTTTCTATATTGGCATGCTGATGAACAGAATGTAAAGGATCACCTTCGACAGCTCAACACATGATTCAGAGCATCCCACACATCTCTCTTTTCAACGGAAAGACACGTGTCGGTGTATTAAACTGGCTCATATGGCGTCACACAGTCGTTAACAGTTTGTGTTTTATTTGAAATATGAGGTTAAACAACACAATACTGAGCTTCACTGCCTAATTAATACATCCTTACATGTTAGTTTGTATTCCTACTTGGCCTGTTTTGCATCAGAAAATGCCTTCAACTGTCTAAATATATTTATGCTAATTTGTCAAGAACCGGTATTAAGATAAAAAAGCACATTCATCCATTCAGTAGCTACAGTTGAAACCAAAAGTGTACATACACTGTACAAAAACACATAACCTTTTTTTTTCTTCTTCTTTTATCTGACACAAAATGCTACTAAACTTTTCCCATTTTAGGTCAGTTAGGATTAGCAAAATTATTTATATTTGCTAAATGCCACAATTTTTTTTTTTTTAGAGATTTTTAAAATTCAGTCAGAAGTTTCCATACATTTCCTTAGTATTTGGTAGCATTGCCTTTAAACTGTATGACTTGGGTCAAACGTTCACAGTTTGGATGGTGTTCTCAGGCTTGTAAGCTTCCCCCTTCTTCCTCCAAATGTAACAATGGTCATTATGACCAAATAGTTCAATTTCAGTTTCATCAGACCAAAATACATCCATTAACTCAAATGTTGTCAGTTAAGCTCTCAAAGCCATGATGTTGGTTTGATTTGACATAATGTGGCTAAACAACACAATATTGAGCTTCACTGCATAATTACCACCTCATTACACAAAAGTTTCACATGTAAATATTCTTCATGAAACATTAAAAAGTCAAAGGAACACACATAGCCTCATGTAAATTAAGGCTAGAAACTGTATTTAAATTATTAAAATTACTCTTCTTCTTGTTTTCTGTTGTTTCACATTATTTTTTTGGTGTCCCAGCTGCCACAATGTGTTTTTGCAGTTTATTTTTTTTTTTTTTTTTTACAGTGTTGCCTACCACTTTGCCACTTGTTGCACAACCAGAATAAACAAGTGTATTTATCTTAATTTGTGAAGAACTGGCCTTCAGCCAGAACTGCAGATAGATGTGAATTAGGAGAGTGACCTGATAGCGTGTTTAGGGTGCAGACCTAATGGGAACAAATGCCTTCAAGCAGCGAGCGCCTGCTTTGATTCCCGGCCAGCTTTTAATGCATGCCATTCCCTGGTTCTCTTTGCTCACATTTCCTGTCTCTCTCCACTGTCACAACAAACAAAAATGGTCCTTAAAAACATTTCAAATAAAAATTTGTACTACAAGAATGATATTTTTCCACTCCTGTATGTCTTTACTTTGCATTCTAAACATTGCAAGTCCAAGTAATATTTTAAAATTAATTTATTTATTTTGAATTATTTTCATTTCTGGCAACAGACTTGGATAACGTGGTCCGAGTCATTCTGGTTACCTTAGGACGTAAAACTGCAGTGACTCACTGTCCATTCCTTTTAAGTTCTAAATTTAACTGTGTCACATGGTACATGATAATAATATTGACAAAAGCTGCCATTTCTGTTGAATACAGTCTCTGGAATAGCTGTCATTCTGGCAGCCTTTCATTTCTTTGATTACTGCTCATCTACTAGAAGGCAAAAAAAAGAGCTCCAAGATATTATTTTAATTGGCTCAGATAACTGAAGCTTGTCATTATACTCTGGTGCCATGTGTATTTTTAGAATCATAATTATCGTACATGTGGGAACTCATGTCAGTAATGACGTATGTTAAGAGCGGGTATTCGTTGAAGCTACACGCCTATACTGTCACATATATTGTTCTGGAGTATTGCTCGAACCTGAGTTCGTACCCTCACAATAACCTGCATGCATCTGGATCATGTCTAATTCAATATAATGACACTACTTTTGTTTTCTGATATTTTGAAAAACAACGCTACAAATCATAAAAGAAGATGAAAATTAATTGAAAATTGACTTTATTCTGTTTTTCATTTTCTAAAAGAAAGAACAATTTAAAGTGGAAAAAGATGGTGGATATACATGGAATGAATAATTTACTAATTACCTTTTTAATTTGTGTCCACATCCACTTTGTGAAAACACACCTGCAGTTTAACCAAGTTCAGCCAAAAAGTGCCAGAAGTTTTGCTGGTTATCACTTCTAAGTTGACTGAGGGTGCAGAAAAGTTTTTTTTTTTATGAATCTGATTAAAGCAAATATTTATTTTTGGTGAATTTGTAAATTGAACACATGAAATAGGTTGAATTTGGTAAAATATTGCAATTTTAAACCTAGATTTTAGTTCTAGGATCATGACAAAGTTGGAAATTTGATGATTCTTTCTATTTTTACAGCTTCTAGCTCCAAAAAAAATGTTGTTATTTTGCAATTTTATTCAGACAACATGTCTTTTAAACCTGCTGGCAGGTTTTTGGGCTTATAAGGATTAAAAAGGCTTTAGCTGCTTCCATTATGGAAATATCAGACGCTTTTTGCTATAAGAATATATCTTACTGATACTTCATCTGCGGGATCAAAATAGCAAAAATTGTGTGACCCTAGTTTGGCAGACAAAAATACACAGTTATAAAAAGACAAACTAACTATAGTGAAGATTGGTTACAGCTGGTTTGGATTTATTTAAAAAAAATAAATGTAAATAAAAAAAAAAACTCAGACTGTAACTTCAGCTACTGGAGGCTTAAAGGCTGTGTGTGTTCACAGACCCTGTATCAGTTGTTCAGTTGACACATGCACGGCACCAATGTCAGCCGGACATGTGCGTGTACATGTGAATTATATGTGTGGGGCATGTGGCGTGGTGAAACCAAGCACACCCCACAGCTCAGACGGGCTCACTGAAGTTCACCTCGGGTTTTCTCGGGTTTCACTTGCTCAGTTCCTCCTAAACATTTGCTTCATTTTCTCCTGTCAGAACGCAGCCGTGTCCCATGAGGAGACAACCGGAGGGAGAATGTCGGACGGGGAGATTTTCAAAGCAGAGATAGTCTTTATCAAGGACTCTGTGGAGGGGAAAGTGGGGAACATAATCCAGCGGGAGACAGAAGCTCATGTAAGTACAACAGGAACACTCTAAATGTCATGTGGAAACTGCAGTAAAAGCTTTGTCATTGACATTACAATGTAGATGTGTATGTGTGGAATACTGTCCAGATGTGTATCTATACATGTCAGGGTTAGTTAAAAATATATACTTGACTTTCATTTAAAAAGCATCGTGCCTGTCAAATGTCCAGATTTATTACCTTTCAAATCTGACAGTTTAATTAGAATTTAATAAGAAGATAAAAAGCACACAGCCCAACATGTTCCAAAGTGTCACCCCTATAATGAGATTATTTTTGTACTTTCACGGCCAAATTGATGGAACTCGTTAAAAAAATTAGTTTGCAGATCCATGATTTTTGTCAGTGTGGCTTTTCACAATTTGAAAGAAAAGTAATTTATCCAGAGGTGTGAATTTTCTGATAATACAAAAGTAAAAAGAAAGTTTTTTCTTTCTTTCTTTTTTTCTTTTTTTTTCAGATGAAGCCTCCACCAGCTCCGGTGAGCCTGACTCACACCAGAGCCTCTCCTTTATCTGGCGCTCAGTCTGAAAATACCCCCAACCACGTAGCCGCTGTGACGGCCTCTATGGAAACAGCTGTTGATAAACACAGGGGCATTTCCCAGCGGCGGTGTCACGATACCTCTGGACGCGCTGAGGTTAGCTTGGGTTGCTTTGCAAATAGAAAGTCTGTGTCAGAAGACAGAACAAGCCCCACGAACTCTGCAGATCTGTTCCCCACCCCGGCTTCATCCAGAGAGTCCATCCTCTCGGAGGGCTCGGACAAAGACAAGAGCTGGTCTGCTGCTCAGCTTTCCTCTGTAACCTCTCCTGTTTCTTTCAGCCGCACTGTTTCTCAATGCTCATCTATCCGCTCGGGCGTCTTCTCCCCCGCTGTCGTCCAGATCAAGAGGCACTTTCTGGCTCCTGGCTCTAGTCTGCTCAACATCCCTCAAACCTGTTTCTCGTCCTGCGAGAGCCTGACCTCCTCTGTCTGCTCGCAGACTTCCCCTCCCCGGCACCGGCCTCCTCTCACCCGACTCTCCCTCCTCACTGCCATCCTGAGGAAAGGTCGTCTTCCTGTCCTGTCGCCTGCTCTGCAGAGGCCTTACACCCCCTGCTGGCCTGTTAACCCTGTGACCCTGTCCTTTTGTAACGCATGCTCAGCAGCCTCCAGCGTGGCTTCTATTCCCCTGGAGTTTTCCTCCCTATACTCCTCATCTGCCTCTATAGACAGTCAAAGCCACGTTCACAGGGAAGCGAGTCGGTGCATCACTGCTCCTCCAACGGTGCAGTCGAGGGAGCTCAGTGGAACCTGCCCTCAAACTCAAGTGAAAAGATGCTCGGAGCAAATTCACTCCTGCGGCGTGCCTACATGGGAGCGGGTTGTTTCGCCTCCGCCAGCAAAGAGCAGCACACTACCCCGAGCGCCACTGTTTTGCTCAGACTTCAAATCTGTTTCTCCATCAAAGCATGAAGAAACACACTGTGCAACCTCCAAAAACCTGCCCAACACACACATCTCCGAGTCCCCCAAGCTGAAGCCCAGCAGCAAATTCCTGAAGGGCCATGCAGATAATAACCTTAAAAAACTCATCTCCCCGTCCACTAAGCTTAATAATGAGCCGGAGACCCCTGTGCCCCAGAAATGGAGCCAGCAACCAAATTCATCTCTCTCAAGGCTTCACTCGCTTTCTCAGCAGCTGAGGTCTCCGCCTGTCACTCCTCCTCATCCTCATCAGCCTTCACGTTCCACAACTTTCTCTGCTCGCACTGACACAGCATCACCTCTCCCTGCTTTGCAAAACGTGGGAGGAGGATCGGAGAGGGGCTGCCTCGATTCCAAAAGCGTCCCACCACCGCGGGGTTTTCACAAAGCCAACTGCCTGTCCCCTTCCCGCTATACACCTATCATCTTTTCCGGGTGGCCGTCGCCCACCAGCTCCCCCACGCCTACGCCCTCCCCTGCTCCACCAATCAGAGAGTTCAGCCCGTCCCCGTCTCTGTCCCTGCGTTCCACGCCCTCCCCAAGGCCGGGGAGTGGAATATCAGACTGCAGTGACAGGGAGGGTAAAAAAAGAAAGGTAGCTGCCGTGCTTATCATATGTACGACTTGTTTAAACGGGGCATATTATTTAATATGTTCTCTCTGACATACTGTTCTTCCAGGCAGTGTGGCTAAAAACAGATTTCACTCACCTGATATGAGGACATGAAGCTCTGTCCTCTGTGTGCAACTGTTTTTAGATTTCTGTTTATCTGTTTGTCTCTGCCATCACTCATTCATGCCTTTTAAGCTTGTTGCTTCACAGAGTTATCCAACTCTGATGACTGACGCATCTGAAATGTAGAAAGCAAAGGAGGGAATCTATCATCATAAAATTTGCCCATCAGCTTTTTAAAACTTTGATTTCTAGGCCAAAGCACGTCTGACTTGGAAAACATAGTTTTAGAAAGCTGAAGTTAAGTAACACGGCTCAGGAATTCAATTTATTTCGAGCAAGCCAGGAACTGTAAGTCGATGTGGGACTCAGTCTGTTAGTTTTCTTGCCTGTCAGTGTGGAAAAACCAAACTTGTTGACATTTACAGTCTGTCAAATGAGCTGTGTGTGCAGCAAAGTGATGTACTTTCCGGTGCTGTCAAAGCAGACTTACGCACTTTATCACTGTTCTTACTGCTGGGTGTCTTTAATGTGGCCGCTGTGCATGATTAGGAGCAGCGTGAGATAAGGCATGCCTGATACATCCCCATAGGACATTCTACAAAGTTCATCTTGAGTAAAATTGTATTTAAATTCATTTGCATTCACCGTCTGCTCTTCTCTGTCTATGAACTCCAGACGCACAAGATTAAGTCGAGCTACAAATCGCTTGCTGCGATTCCAACAAACACCCTTCTGCTGGATCAGCAAGTAAGTTCACTTCTTTGACCTTAATCCCACTAAAACATCCTCGTATCCTGTTAAATATCCAGGTATATAGTATGAACCCTAAATGATGCAGGCCATCTTAAAAATGTACGTAACAAGGAGCATTATGTGAATCTGAATAAACTCATATGCTGTGAAGTTTTAATTAAAAAAGTTAAATCCTACGACTCTACCAATCAGGCTTCACGAAGAATAACGTTTCATTTGAACCTGCAAAAATGTGCTAGGCTTGAAAAGAACAATTTATTTCACAAGGCAAGTCAGTTTTAAACCTTATTTAAAGTCAAATCAGGTGAAGCTGACAAGAAAACATGACCTGCTGCTGTGTTATTCACACCGCAGTATGGCAAGGAAGCCCTGTCTGAGAGGAAGGCAGATAAATAGCAGCTGAGAGGAGGAGATGCTGCAGCAGATAGCGAGTTGTCACTCAGAAAAAGCGTTATCTTCGGCAGAGAGTTCAGCGTGTTCTGTCTTTGCGTTCACAGGCGATAGATGAGCAGGTAGAGAGAGAACCGACTCCTTGTAACACGCCGGACGGAGGTGTTGCAGACACTCATATTGAGGTAATAAAGCACAAGCTGATGCGGGTTTTTACTGCACACTTCACTCAGCAGCATGAATAATTTTGTCCTCTCCACAGATGTGCTCACCTGCTCAACTCCGGCAGCAGTCAGAGGAACTGTATGCTGTCATTGATGAGATATTGGCAAATTCCACTCCAGCAGTGAGTTCATATCAGTATTCATATAAAATTTGACACGTGAAATGTTGATTTGCAACATCAGACGTGAGGTTATTTTTGCATCCTAATTGGCTAAATGTTTCCTGTCACTGCAGTCCTCCAGGGCATCGACTCCTAGTGTTGGTCTGCAGGTAAAGTGTATTTCTTTAATATCGTCTAACAAGTGTGCAGAGCTCATACACACTGGATTTTTTTTTCAGTGTTAATGAAATGCAGTTGCTTGCTGTGAGTTAGACAATCAGCACCTCTTGTGTGTGCCACAGTAAAAACATCCATGTGTGCTTCCATCAGGGGTATTTGCCTGTCGACCTGTCTACATGAATGAATGATGAAATGATTACACGCACAGCCAGCCAAGGTTTAGTCCAGCATATAACCCTGCAAAACCACAGCTTGTCCATTTTACACAAATTATTAAAGATAATATAAAGCCTAAAAGAGCCAGACAAGCTGTTTCTGACTTTATGCTCAGCTAAATGGTGTTAAGTCGAGCTATGTATGTAATTGACGGATCTGAAAGTGATCTTTTCATCTAACTCTATTTCTGTATCTATAGACACATGCATGCCTACACAACATTAGTTTGGAATGTTAACCCAAATGCCAGCACATTTGAAGACTATTAAAAAAAAAAAAAAAACAACTCACCATCCATCCATCCATTATCTATACACCACTTAATCCTCACTAGGGTTGTGGGGGGCTGGAGTCTATCCCAGCTGACTTAGAGTGAAGGCAGGGGACACCCTGGACAGGTCACCAGTCTATCGCAGGGCCACACTTAGAGACAGACAACCAAGCACACTCACATTCACACCTACGGACAATTTAGAATCACCAATTAACCTCAACATGTTTTTGGACTGTGTGGGAGGAAGCCGGAGAACCCAGAGAGAACTTGCAAACTCCACGAAGAAAGATCCTGGGTGTCCTCACCGGGACGCGAACCGGTGACCTTCTTGCTGCGAGGCAATGGTGCTAAACACCGATCCACCTTGCAGCCCAACAACTCACCAGAATGACACGATTGAACAAAACCAGAAACTACAACAACTTTGTTCCTCTGGATCTTGAACTAATCATGCGTGATGTGACGTTCCGTCGGAAAACTTCAGCAAAACTAAGCTTAAAATTGTGATACTTGGGGTGCTGCTATAGCTCACCTGGTTGAGCTGGCGTGTCATGTACAGGGCTACAGTCCCGATGTGGAGGTCATGAGTTAGAATCCCTTTCCCATCTCTTCTCCGCTACTTTCCTGTCTCTCTCTCACTGCACTATCAATAAAGGCACAAAGGCGAAAAAATAAATAAAAAAATAAATAAAAAATTGTGATACAAAAAAATTCTATAAAATATCTGCAGTAATCAGATTATGCAAAAAGCAAAAAAAAAAAAACAAGACTCAACAGTCAGAAAAATGATGGGATCACTGGACTGAACAGGTATGAACTCCAGGCTGGTGCTTACACAGAGCGGAGGTGAGATAAGTACAGACAGAAATTAAATATGTGAGCAGTAAAATATGTAGAATTACCATTTTTCCCATCTTGTTTAAAACCTGGGAGCACAAGGAGAACGTTGACTTTATTTGTTTAATTTTGTAAAACAATTGTTAAAGAAAATCTAATTCCTTTTTCTTTCTTGTTAAAGTTTCCTGGCATTGTAACCATGTTATGCTACTTTACGTATAAAAAGTGTGTAAAAAGTGTGAAAATGACAAGAAGTCTGTTCACACTAGACCTGTTGCACACAAACAAATCCAAAGATATTCAAATTTTTGTTATCTGATGCTGCTTTAGTATAGAATTTAGATGCTTCAATAAATAACAAATTACTAATAAATAAAAGAATAAATAATCAGAAATAAATGATGGGTCATTGTTTATGTGTAAAAACATTGTGAAATAATGTCAAGTGTGCCTCTGGATGCTTTGTCATCCTTATTATCGTACATCTCTCATCAACGGCCTGAGGACAGAAAATAAAAGTAATCACCAAAAATGTGAATCATTAAAGTCAGATAAAATAGAAATGTCTAAAATGCAAAAACTGCTGTCGCTTTCAGATCACGGAAGTAAATCCTCTGCGCTGAAACACAAACTGGAAGTGGGATAAAAGTGAATTCTGGCTTTATGATCATCAGCACAAGAAATGAAAAGATATCCTCTCATCATTCATCAAAGGAGAAATCTTCTCGTAGTTTCCAGATAAAAAAAAAAAAAAGTTTGTGAGTTTGAAAAAAAAAAAAAGTTTGTGAGTTTGAGTGTTGACATCAGTGTACGATGAATCAGATTTTCTTCAGGTCCAGACTATAGTGATGAAAAAATGTAGATTTCAATGATTAACCGGGAATAAAAAAAGTAGCTGTTGCACAAAAAGAAAAAAAAAGTAAAGGGTTATTTGGTGTCAGCTTCACTCTTCACAGTCTCCAAAGTTCAGATACATTCAGTGAACCGAGTCGTGTCAACAAAGGGCTTCTTTTCATCTGCTTCTCTGTCAATTTTGCAAAAGTGATGAATCATTTCCAGATGAAAACCTTCCATCCTCCCACCAGATGAGGCTTGTGTTGTTTTGTTTCACTTTGCTCTTTCTTTCTTTCTTTTTTTACTTTCAGCAGAACAACTCGTCATTTCCAAAATCCTTGGGACGTGAAACCAAATATGTGAGTAAGAGTCTGCTAGTTCTGTTGAATTAAAGGTACATATTTTCCCCAGGATTTCACCCCAGTGGGACCAGTGTTACAACCCACTGCTGTCAGTAGTTTATCATCAGACAAATTTAGTCCTACAGGACCGAGCTGTTATGCCACATCAGCATTTCATCATCTGAAGAAAACATGTTCCATCAGGAATTTTATTGCTTCAAAAACACAAAGCAGACGTTGTCTGCTTCAATATAGATTTGCTCTTTTGGGGGGTAAACGCTGCTAACAAACAGAGTTTATGGCGCTTTTAACTCCTACTTCAACAACATTAAAGGAATAGTGAGACGTTTTGGGAATCATCCTTAATATAAGCAGTTTTTATTTGAGTGAGGTGAGAACAGCAGTGCTGCACTCATGAGGTTAACCCTATTCAGGACTTTCATGTTGCCATACGTAGAAGGTCTTGTGGGGTCCACTGGACAACAAAGTATTTGTTGGTGGGCGCCTGAATAGCTCAACTGGATGGATGGGCGACCCATGTACAGGGACTATAGCCTCTGATGCAGCGGCCGCAGCTCGATTCCAGCCAGTGGCTCATTTGCTGCATGTCATTCCCCCACGTTACTCTGTCTATCTTCACTGTCAACTATCATTAAAGGCAGAAAAGCCCCAAAAATATATCTTTAAAAAATATTTGTTGGTATTCATTATATACTTTTATCCTACGTTACATAAATTTTCTGATGAAATGACACATTTTTGGTTCCAAATTTTGTCCTGTAAAAGTCCTGAATAGGGTTAAGCTCATAAAAAAAGACTGGAAACAGGGAAAACAGCTTGGCTCGTTCAGTGTGTCTGCACCAAAGAGCACCTGTAAAGCTGCACAGTATCTTCTGTTTAAAGATGTGGTCAGTTAAAAAGTGAAATTAATTTTTGCCTTGAGTTATTTGCATAAATTTAAGCCCTTGATTGTTTTTCCTCGAACACGTTCTCCTCCAGGCTGTCTCCTTATTGCTCTTGTCTGTGCATGGTTTTCAAGTAGATTTATAAAGCATAGGGTTAAAAATACTTGGTAGTGCCTTTGGGTCTCACTGGTCTTTTACATTGACTTTCGTACTGCTTCTAAAACTCACAAACACGCAGAAATACATACGCAGCTATGTAAAAACAGCAATTTGTGGGTTTATGGGTGTTGTGTTTTGAAATTTTCTCATACCAATCTACAGTTTCTCCACCATAACCGGATTCCAGACAGTCACTGGAATCGCAAATTACAGCCCAGCTCCAAGTCGATGCCTAACCCTCAGACATGAGACTTAATTTTCATGTACATTAAGAAAAGTCAGTTTTTCTGAACTTAATTTACATCTGAATTTGATTCACTAACAAGACTGCACAACAGTATTGCCAATCAGCACTGGCATTTTTTGTTTTTATTTTTATATTTTAAAATTTTTGTAAAACTTTTTGAGCCAGGTAGAAGATACTATTATGTCAGGCTGCATCCTTTTTTGAATATTCATTGTGGATAAGTTAACTGAATTTGAGTACATCAGATCAGAGGGCAGATGTTTTTGCACATCTGGCATCTTAGAATAATAACAGCAAATTATTATTTCCACTTCATTCCACATTTAGCCGCTATCATTTTTTAACTAATTGCAAATGTCACAGCAAGTGTCATCAGTGGTTCAGGTGCTTTGAGGTACATTTCTTGCCTTTACATAAAGCCTGCAGTATATAAAGTGCTTTCTTTTATTAGCATTTCCATTAACTGTGTTCATTTTTTTTCTTCCCTCCCTCTTGTTTATTCAGGCGTCATTATGCAGCCTGCACCCTTCTGCCGGCGTGGAAAGAAAACTGATGGATTCTAAAAAGGTACACATTTGATCAACTTATTACCCTGCTGCCGTTTTTATAACACCAATCATATAAAGAGTCTTGGAAAAGTTACTTAAGAAACTTCTCATCTGCTGTCAAACTCTGAAACTTCGCACCCAGACGAAACCCGGGGTCATTCGCCCGATGACGGCCATTCCAACACTGACAGTGGAGGAAGAAGAAGAGTTTCGTTCCAACCCCTTCAGGCAGTTTGCTGTCAAGCAGACCTTAAATGGCAAGAAGAAGGTAGGACGATGACATTTGATCATATTTTTTTGCTTTATTTTAAGCGATAGCAAGATATCAAAGTCTGTTTTTGTGTCACTAACTCTCATCCTCGTGGGCTTGAAATGTGTCTCATGAAAAAAGAGACGTGTCTCATGAATTTCATGACAGTTGGAATGAACTCTAGAGGCAGAAAAAAAACTTCCAATGAAAACTTCTCAAACTACAACCCACTCTCCATCCATAACCTTGGTGTTTTGTAAATTTAGTTTTGGCACAATTTTGCAAAATGAAGTAAAATGTTGTTGATCTACACCACAGCATAAATGCTTTTAATTTACTACATTGGGAAATCAATTTAAATGTAAATGAAGAAAAAGTTTGAGTGGAGGTTTGATTCATTCTCAAATTTGTAAGCACATAGTTTAGCAAATTTAACAATTTGCCTCTATGCACCTATTTATTTCAAGCCACCGCAACAATGCTGTTATTTTAGAGTTACAGACTGAAATGAATCGGATTCCCAGTGCAGCACATCAAGACTTGCAGCTGTGTAAAATAGTTGGTGTGGACCAACTTGTTAAACATCACTTCACTGGTTTTGGTGGAAAGTGAGTCAAAAAGTTGGACACTTTGCAGCAGCGAGTCATTTTACCCTCTCTTCTCCTCTACTTCCAATTTCCATCCCATCCCCTCTCTAATCAGCCAACCTTGTCAAATTCTCTGAGAGGATGATTTCTTTTTTCCGCACAACCCGCTGAGCTTCTGGCTTGTTTCCAAACCTCATCTTGTCAAACAACTCCACTCACCATCATGCGGCAAACCTCGGAATCGGTCTATTCTTGTATAAGGAATTTGCTGTTTGAGGGTAACGTGTTTAAAATAACAGTAAAGCAGCATAAGAAAACCTAACTCCTCGTGTTGTGTGCACTCTGCTCACCTGCAGTTAATCTAACACGAATTAAACTCCAGAATAGATGAGTGTGCAGCAGTTTATAAGTTAAAATATGTCATGAGCAGCAGTAACAGGAGGTAAAATACGCACATTTATTACTACAGAAAAAGATACATAAGACTAAAGGTACATAACAAACCACGTGTGATTTATTTAAGGACAACCAGAAAGTTATAATCCTACATTTGTTCTAGCTTTTATAGGTTTTAGCAGTGATAAATGGTTTCAAAAGGTTTTCAGATGTTTATTGGGTTAATGTCAGCTTTCTTCAGCTTCTAGCAAAAAATAAATAAAAAACTTATATTCAGTATCATTTACATATGTTGGCAAGGGCCCAGAAAATACCTGGAAATCATTAGTCAACTACAAACACGATAAATATGAAAATAATCCAAGGTTTAAGTCCATGTCCTTTTGATCTGATCTCTAAAACTACATCTGTGTGTGTCAAAGTTACATGTTTAGAATATTTCCCCCCATGAAAAGAATCCCTTCCGGCCTTAAAATGGCTCAGATGTAACTCAAAGCTGTTGCTGCCCTTGAGAATACGGTGACCTAGTCCCTGCTTTTCTCTCCACTCGCAGCTCAATCTCAGCAACTCACCACGACTCTGCTCAAACACTGTGAAACTACTCTGCTCTGCACAATAGCAAGCTATAATACTGGAGGATTTCAGCCACATAAGTTGTAGTCATTCTGAAAAAGATCAGTGATACACAAAGCTCCACCCCGCAAGATGACAGGACTGTTTCCTTGGGTTTGTTCTGCATGAAAGTATTCCGCTCATATCATTAAAAACAACAACAACAACAACAACAACAACAACATATGTACATGTTCACAAGGTAGAAAACTGGATTTTCCCCAGAGAGAGTGTTTAAGCTCCTTGTGTAATACTGCACAACAGTCTGGACCTTGTAAAATGTCAAGGTCAACATGTCAACACTTCATCATGTTAGTGAATACATGCTTTCAGCAGTGTTCTGCAGCAGAGAGGTTTTTAACATCAATAATCATGACGTGTTAGACACTAAACTGTTTTCCATGTGAGGGGAAGGCGTTTACTTCCAGGAAGAGAAACAGTGGCACCACATTTCTGAGACGGAAAACACTGGTAGACTACATAGAGAATATCCAGCAGAATATACAGTAATATGCAGAGTGTTTGGAACCACGGGGCACTAGCTGCAACATTTATATTCAGAGTTTAATACAATCTGCTCCTCATCACAGCTCAGTTGGTCGGCTCTACATGGATTAATTACCTGTTGTCACTTAATCTCAGATCTTTGAGTCATGGCAGTGGGGTAATCCTTAATTAATGTGAGCTCATTCAAATTAAATTTAATGCTGAAGTTGTTGGTGCAGAATTAAATACTGGATCAAGCCAACTAACATCGTTTGTAAAAGTTTGTGTGATTTGATATTTAATTACTGGAATTGTTTAACATTTTGAGTGCTAACACCGTTAGGTCGGTACAGTGCAGGTGAAGCTACAGCTGTATGACAGTTACCTTCATAGAAACTGGAAACAGAGGAAGAAAAAACAAGCCTTTATTTAGCTGCCTTTTCAAAAATGTGCCTATCAACACCTCCGACTCTCACAAAATAACACGTTCTACCTGGTTATATTGGTACAAAAGCTAAAGTATAAAATTAACTCGCTGCACTCATAACATCCACAACATTTGCTTCTGACAAGTTATTTTTATGGCATGTGTTTGTGAAAAATTGTAGATTTGCTTTTGTAAAGTTGCAAAAACAACAAGCAGCTGTGTTAATCGCAGCTTGTTGCAATACAATAGTTGTGGTCATTTGTTGTGGCTATTTTGTGGCTCTGACACAAGAAGATGATGTCTCCAATCTTGCTTCCTCCTACAATGCTATGATTAAATAATTCATTTTGAGTATTTAAAGGCAACATGTAGTATTTCCACACTCAGAACGGAGATGCTCCGATGAAACACAAACAAAGAGCACATTAATGTAAATAGGGTGTGAATTTATTTGGACGCAGTCTGTCTAATTACTGACTGCGTAGAAAATGGTGTTATTCTTGTAAAGATCATAAAGTAATGTTCCCTTGCTAAACTTCAAAAACCTTTAATCACAGCAGGTGAAGTGTTTTTAAAAGCTCAGCAGTATAATCGATGTCTTCTTTCAAAACAAAACTTTATTTTCGTTCCAAAATGAAATCATGTTGCAGTGCCCAACATGAAAATAACTGCATGAGAAGAAATTCATTAATAATTAAGATCGTTAACAAGAAACATGGGCATTGATGACGTTTATGTAAGAGTTACTCTGTGTAAGCGCTGCTCCTGCCCGTCTAAACGAGCAACTTTCAGGTGAACTGAGGGTCATTCAGTAAAAAAAACAAAAAATCTTTTTACTACTGCAAAAACACATACATAATACATTAGAAATAAGCAGAAAATGTGAAACCATGTCAAAACTTCAGTTAATTTTCTGTGAAGACCTTCCCTTGCAGACCTTGGTTAGACTTTTTCTTCTCTTTTTGCGTCAAACCATTCAACCCTGAGACTAGTTGCTAACATACCTTCACATGTGAATCATAGAAATAAGATGAGATGAGATGAGATAAGATAAGGTAAGCCTTGATTTATCTCACAGTGGAGAAATTCAGTGTTGTCAGCAGCAGTACACACAGAGATACACACATACTGGACGGAAATTTTTGACACATTAAGTATAAAAATACACATATAAAAAGAATAGTGAAAGCACAGAACATAAAAATACACATGAAAAAACCAGTGAAAACCAGTTGTAAAAATAATAAACAGTGCAAATGCAAATATATACATACATGCATACGTACATGTCGTGAAATAGTGCAAATAACCAGTGTAATATAAGTGAACATGTCTAAATATGAATATGAGTGTTGTTTGTTTACATATTAAAAGGGGGATATTGCACATTGTTGGGCTACTGGGAGCATAGCTGGTTGACAGGAGAAAGGACCTGCGGTACCTCTCTTTGGTACAGCGTGGGTGAAGAAGTCTGGCACTGGTGAAGCTGTCCAGGGCTCTTACAGTCCAGTGTAGGGGGTGGGAGGTATTGTCCATGACTGATGATGTCATCATCCTCCTGTCACCCACCACCTCCACAGGATCGAGACTGCAGCTCAGGACAGAGCCGGCCTTCTTCACCAGTTTATTCAGACTCTTCCTCTCAGTAGCTGTGATGCTGTTGCTCCAGCAAACCACACCATAAAAAATGACTGATGTCACCGCCGAGTTGTAAAAAGCACACCGAAGGACTCTGCTCTGGCCTTTTTTGTACAGAGCCTGAATGTTTTTTTGTTCAGATGAACACCCAGGTACTTGTAAAAGTCCAATATCTCAATGTTCATTCCCTGGATGTTCATCTGAGAAGGACGGGTGATTTTGTGTTGGCGAAAGTCAACTTCCAGCTCTTTGGTTTTTCCAGCATTAATTTAGAGGCAGTTTTGCTCGCACCAGGCCACAAAGTTCTGGTTTAGTTCTCGGTACTCCTTCTCGTCTCCGTAGTGAATGAGACAGATGATGGCAGAGTCATCCGAGAACTTTTGCAGGTGGCAGTTTGCTGTGTAGTGGGTGAAGTCGGTCAGGTAGATGGTGAACAGGAGAGGAGCCAGAACAGTCCCTTGAGGTGCCCCCGTGCTGCAGACCACCGTCTCAGACACACACAAACTGTCCTGTTGGTCAGGAAGTCCAAGAGCCATGATGTCAGCTGGCTGCACACTCCCGTGTTGTTCAGTCAGGAGTTTTGGCTGGATGGTGTTGAAAGCACTGGTGAAGTCATCAAACCTGATTCTCACGGTGCTTCCAGGCCTCTCCAGGTGAGACAGGAATCTCTGCACGATGAAGATGATGGCGTCCTCAACCCCAGCGCTTGGCTGGTGAGCAAACTGCAGTGGATCTGCAGATGAGCTCACCAGGGAGCACAGGTGTTGGAGGACCAGCCTCTCCAGGGTCTTTGCCAGGTGGGATGTCAGGGCCACTGGTTGGTAGTGATTGAAGTCACAATGCAGAGACGACTTGGGCACCGTATCACGCAGGATGTCTTCCACAGCAATGGCACCTTTTGCAGGCTCAGGCATGTGAGGTTGATGACCTAGAGTAACTTACCTTCACATTTTGTAAAATTGTTCTGACTGTCAAATATGAACCAGAAATTACATGAGTCTTTGAAAATGGCAACAGCAGTAACATTTAAAATATTTACTTGTAGATGGCTAAGTAAATATATAGATGATTTCCAAACCAGAATCCCGAATACCCAACTAAATCATCAAGGAGTTTTGAAAGCAGCTTAAGAAAACATTGCTTGAGAAATCTTGCAGTCAGAAGCTGATCAGCTCACACCGTGATTCTCTAACAAAGCATTGAGGAATCAATGCAATCTGCATATGTGACTGCCCACACACATGCTGCTGTACATTCTTTTTATTTACACTGATTTCTCCCCTTGATTGCCCCTGCATTTTCCCTGATTTGCAGATTTCTTTCTTAATCTTAATTGTGCCAGCGTCTCAGGCCTCAGATGGCGTCACAGCGTATGTATATTTCATATCTGACTCATCTGACTTTAGTTTCCTGTAGAGCCGCTTCACTACGCTCCCTGATGGATGATTTCTTGCTTTGATTTAGCTGGGGCATATTTCAAGTGCCAAATATAAGAATATTCACAGAATATTCTAATCTATTCTCCTGCTTTTCAATTTCTTGAACCCATCACAGCTCAACAAGTCTGAATTACATTCACATAATTATGCTCACATTTAAATTTCAGTCACTTCGCTGAAACAAGGGTGACTTCAGAGTCACAGTCTTACATCTCTGTTAGCACAACAGGCAGACTGACAATTCAAAAGATGTGACTGTGTATCTCTTGGTAGTGTGTTGCATTTGTAGAGAAGTACTAAAGGAATTAAGAGTCACTGTGAGTACTATTTGACAAGAGAACTGTTGAAAGCGGGGAAGGGAATCGAATGAGATGGCCAAAAGCTCAGTCAATTAGTCTGGGGGAAACAGAAAAAGCAAAAGCTCCTGTCAGCCTCAATGACACAAATTGTAATTAGGAAACTAGAATTACCACTTCATGCTTGTGTGCCTCGATCCTAGAAATCCCAAGAGCGGTTCCTGGAAGAAAAGCTGCAATTCAATCTGAATAGTTGTATAGTTCTAGTTGCAGTTTGAAAGCGAGATGATAATGCTTAGTGAATTTATCCAAAGTGATATTGCGTTAGTGGGCAAATGTGGTCTATATGAAGATTTCACTTCAACTCATTTAGCATTTCAAAGGAAATATCCAAACTAGATAGAGTGTATGCTGCCAAAAAGAAGTTGACAGGACATCATAGTGGGAGCAGTTGTATATGTTCATGTAAAATAAGTGCATTAAACAGTAGCTTTGCCTCGCCAGTAAAGATAAAAGGTGTCCTCTGCCCCTCCAGTATTATTATTATAAGCTGTGCAATGTGCTTCTTCTCTGCTACAACAGGTTATGTCAGTCTCACAAGAAGGATGCAAGTTATCTGTATCAGCTCTGTGGGTGTGATCCCTGCTCGGATTAGAGCCTCTGTTATTGCTCCCTAAATCTTTTTATCTTTTTGTTGTGAGTAGGCATTAATTTGTCTGAATGGGAACTTCCAATCCCTGTTGTTACTGAAAGAAATTTCCCTTTTCGAATCTGAACGACCTTTTGCTGGTGTAATGTTCACTGGGACCAAGATGCCACCTTCGTCTATGTCAGTTCAAACTCAGACAATATATTGTATGATTGTATGCTTCCGCTAACTCAAGTTGTAGTGTACAGTGGTATTCGTCCAGACAACTAATATTTGCAGTGAAAGTTTTGAAATTTATTTGTTGTGTGTTCAAGTTAATAGAAAAAAAGCGATAAATTCTTAATATGTATTCACTTGCTTGACTAGTAAAACTAATCCTGACAGAGCACACAGTTGTAGCCATGACACATGGATTTTGCTGCAAAGATGCTGCAAAATCTGAAAAATGGATGCATCGGATGCATCTAAACCTGGCAGCACAGAAGATCTATACAAGCACCGCAATCCAAGATGCCTATTGAGAATTCAAGCAATGTGAAACAAGGTCACAACTCCCCTTCTGTTACTGAGTTATGATGCTAAATCGCAGTGAGAGAAGTGTCTCCACTGAGTCAGAGCACTCAGAGCAGAGACTTGCATGTTTCTGCTCGTCAAAGCTAATGTAAATCAGGAGAAGTTAATGTGTCAGAGAGATGGGGGAACATGTTTTGTTGCACACGACAAGACGGTTACAGCCCATGGATGTATTTCAGGCAGTAAAATTACTTTTTACAGTGAGTGCAGTTTCCAGTGATTCAGGTCTGATTGGTGCAGAATGAAAACCGCAGAGAGTTCAGAAGCTTCAGTTTGTGCGTCTTTCGTCAGCAGAGGTGGACTCACGCAGAGTTCTGCAACATCACAAAGCAAGTTTCACATCTTATGCTTCTTTTATTTCTCTCTCGTATCGTGGGCTATCTGTTCTTTTAACATACAGCATGTCATGTTGATGGAACTGGACGCATCATCAGTGATGTTTCCTGGGGTCTTCGTGTGTTCGTGGTCTTTTAACATTACACACCCTCATACAGGCGACCCAGCTGGGGTAGATGAAACCCCCTGCTTGTGTCAAGGCATACACACCACCCTTGAGAATCTATTATGTGACATGTTGAAATGTCTGCAAAGATACAGCTAATAATGTGATTCAGACAGATCTGAAACATGTCAGACTAATGTCTGGAACAGTACTGTTGTTCAAGCTTCACTGGAGGTAATTCGGGATCTTGCAGGAACATGAATATACTCACTGAAGTCCTGTTTGCTGCCCACAGTTGGCTGTGTGTCAGATTGATTTCCGAATAAATATCTGCAGTATCACACAGCAGCATAAATAAAGATAACTTTTTCTTTATGAAAACAGGATCGGACCCTAAATTATGTTCTCTGTTTTTCAGCTGTTAAACACAAATTTCTGGTTTATATTCATTTTTAAGCTTCTCCGCACAAATCCTGACCTCAATCAGAGCAGTCAGACCATTTTTTAAATAAAAATATGTCCATCATTGTGCATAAAAATACACATCAGTGTTGTAGTTGTGTGTGATGTTACTTGGGTCCCCTCCAGTGTCTGACTGAAGATTGTGCACTCATCTGTCGGCCTTGGTGCATAAAATGTGAACCATCGTGTTGGTTGTCAACACGCAACAAAACAAAAGATGAGAAAACTCAACACTGTGTTCCATCGATTGATTGTATTCAGTGTCCTGATCCTCCTTCATCCTGCTGTTGACTTGTGAATCAGAGTGGTTTCCTCTGTTAAACACCAACCAGGGACATCTATTCCAACCATCACAAACAGTAAATGTGTCCTTGTGTTCACCCTGCTGCCACTTCCTGCTGCTAAATACTGCACCTCCAGATAAGAAGCACTGAATCCAGGAAGGAGGAATTGGTTATGTTATTAGGGAAAGAGGATTAGTTCCCTTTTTCTTTCATTGGACAGTGTGCTGAGTCCTGGGAGCTTTTTTTGACGGTGAGGTGACGTAAAATACAATTTTGGAATGAAAACCTAGAGTTGTCAAACATAGATATTATTATTATTTCATTTAAAGAAAGTAGGTTCTCACAAAAGAACAAACTGTAATAATAAATGTTGATAAATGCTATATACATGGTAATGCATGCAGGGCTCAGCAGCATATTTCATTGTGACTTGTGGATTCAAATTTTCAGATTTAGTACACATAAAGCCTGGAGTCACCATTCCAGAAAAATCACTCAATTTTCATCAAACTCACAATGAATATTCATGTCAGTATAAAGCCCCAGTGAAATTTCAAGCAACTCCGTGGTGGGTTTCAATGAATCTAAATGGGAAATCTAAACTGAAACCAACAACCGAAAACTGAAATTACACAGTCCTGGTTGATTTGTCCCCTGGCCTTGCATTAACTTGGAATTCACTCTGCTCTTCTCTATTTCAGGTGGAAAATACGCATCGTGAACCGACAGGGATAAATTGGCACACAGGGCTGAAAAGCAAAACATTAAGTGAGGAGAGGAAGCCTGACAGAAGAAATCCTTTCTCCATATGCGACCTGCAGATTACCGAGCCTGAAGAACAGATCAGCCACCTTGGGAAAGATGCTTTGACATCTTTCAGTCCCACTGAGAGGCATATGCAAGCTTTTGAAACTCACATTTAAATGCTTTTTTCCTCAGTGAACAATTATCTGCTTAGACACATTCAGTACTCAAGACAATCCCCGCTGATGGAGAAATGACAAGTTGATTGCACCTCATCAGCATGAATCCCCTTATGGTTGTTTACAGGATTTGACAGCGAGGTTTTAAAGTGTCGCAAAGAGATGACAGAACTGCGGGCAACTGACCGTTTGCTAGTGTCCGACCAATTTTGTTTGTCAAGCTTACAATGGCAGATCAACCACTCCAAGTACATTGTAATTTTTAGAACAGTGGGTCTTTAATTTCAGACCGAGGTGGACAAAAGCAGCCTTTTTATTCTTTCCTGCTCCAGATAATGACATTAATTGTACTTTTGTCTGTTGGTCAAAAACATCGTCTTTGGCTGACCTTTAAGTGTTTTCTGCTGATTCAGTCCCTGTAAAAGAATTTTAAATATGCGCTTGATGGCTACATACATGATAAGTAAACTAAAATAAAAGACAGAGGCTGTTTGTCTCTTCAATATGAGGGGAAAAAAGCACATTTTAAAGGCTCTTAGTGCTGCATCGGGTTGTATTCACTAACAACGGCAAATAAAGTTGTGTAGAGAATGAGAAAGAGAAGACATCTTTGAAACTATTTGACCTGATTTAAGCTTCTAATAGAGTATACTGGCAGCCTAAAGCTGCACATCCTCATCAGGAACTGATGCAGGATACATGTAAATAAGGAAACAACATTGTTTTTGTATTGTAGAGTAGATCAGAGTAAACGTGGACAACACAGATAAATCAGTTAGCTTCATGCCCTAAACTTTGACCTGTACCTGACATTATTCTACAAACTTCATTACCTTTGCTAAAGCATCACAGATTCCAAAGCTTGACAGATCTGTTGTAGCTGGACAAGCAAATGGTCAGTTGCTGAAAAACAACCAAATCCAAAGAGATATAGTTCCACTGTGATACGGCCCTGATCTTTTTTTTAAAGTTAAAAATCATTTAGATTTTTCTTACAGTCGGTTAAATTCACAAAAAGCGATCATGGTCATTACAGTACAACATTAAATTCATGCAAATTATGTGATGCACTGTAAAGAAGAAACAGTTTTACTTTCATTCAAGGAATTGAAGAAAAACTGCAATGTAGAATAAAGGATGTGCCTGTCCAATCCTGTGCTGTGAGTCTGATGTCCTTCAACCATTTACATATCAATCAAAACAGACTCATGATATGAAAGTTTGTTTGAAATAAAATCACAAATACGATCTTTTAAAGAGAATCTAGCAAGCATTTGAATTTCTAAAGCATAAATGTCATCTTATCCATTTCTCTCTTCAATGTCCTATGCCTGATTTGACATCCTTAAAGAAAAGTCTACACTTCAACCGGAAAGGAGGCTCTTGGAGGCATTAAAATAGTTCAGATGATTGCTGCTCTCACAGTGTCTTGTACCTGCTGTGGACCTCACAGCACAAGAGCTAAGCAGCAAGTGTGTACCCACAATCAAATCAAGAATGTTGGAGCAGCTGTATAAAAATATCTTGAACAGTACGTTATTTTCAGCACAGTCTATGTTACAGGGAAGCAGCATGAAAGCAGCTGTTTTTAGTTCAGTCAAGTTGAGTTATTGCTCACAGTAGGCAAAACTGCAAAGAAAACATGGCCTGTGGGTGTTGTTAAATCTGCGAAACAAGTAAAATCAAAAGAGGGATAATAGTGTTTCAATTTGCTAAATAAATTGCAACACAAAACAACTGGGGCTGCAAGGTGGCTCGGTGGTTAGCACCGTTGCCTCGCAGCAAGAAGGTTGCCGGTTCGTGTCCCGGTGAGGACACCCGGGAACTTTCTGTGTGGAGTTTGCATGTTCTCCTCGTGCAGGTTCTCTCCGGGTTCTCAGGCTTCCAGAAACATGTTGAGGTTAATTGGTGATTCTAAATTGTCCGTAGGTGTGAATGTGAGTGTGCTTGATTGTCTGTCTCTAAGTGTAGCCCTGTGATAGACTGGTGACCTGTCCAGGCTGTCCCCTGCCTTCACCCTAAGTCAGCTGGGATAGACTCCAGCCCCCCCGCGACCCCAGTGAGGATTAAGCGGTGTATAGATAATGGATAATAACATAATATATGAACCCCCGCCTCAGACTAAATACACATACAGCAACACCGCTGCTCTCACAAGGACAGAAGAAAAGAAATCGAGGATGTTCAAACCAGGAAATGAGATGTGGGGAGAGTTAAGAGTTGTTCACATAAGGCCACAGGGTGCTGCAACACAGCAGCTTACAATGCTTTGTTATTTCACACTTACGTTTTATTTACAAGGAAAAGACAATCATAAACATGTCAGCCACATTTAACACACGGATAAAACGATTCAGGATTTCTTGACTGATTTAAAAGAGTTTGATCCTTTTGGCATCAGAAGTTTTAGACTGAATCAAGACCAGATGGATGATTGATGGATCATAGACACTGCTTATCTCCAGTGTACAAATACAAGATCAACAGGGTTGTGGTGAACGCTGCAAGCAACAGATCTTAATTAATGGTCGGGTTATTGATCATATTTATACAAAAATAAAGAATTTTAAATCCGTCTCCATTCCAACCAGCCACACCGAGCTTGTCAGTTTGAGAGGGAACATGAAGCTGCCTCAGGCTCTGCAAAAGGTCATTTTTCGCATTAAAATTTGCAACATGAACCTAGAACATGACCTGCTACTAGTATACAGATACGCATGGCCTGCCAGTAACAACTTTGCACCATGATTAGACGTCCATCTACCCATTAGTTAGACTTGCTTAAGGCCTAATTTAGAAAATGGCATCAAATCCCTGAAGTCAGACAGAGAGATACTTCTCCACCCACATCCACTTTACTGGGCCAGGTACTGCAAGATAAGAAATGCAGCCTCTAAAATAAACAAGTGTACAAAGAGACTTCTGTGTCTTACCAGCAAAAGCTTAAAGAGGCAAATAATAAAAGCAAGAAAGATTAAAACAAAATAAAACTGTGAAGTTCTTTTGTTCCTCAGTTTGCCTGAATTAAAAAATTATATATGTGGTTTCTAAACATGCGTCACTCTAGACTGATGCACTGCAGCCACTTATTTGTAATTTCTCATGTAGTGTATGTTGCAGGATTTCTTTTGCTGTTTGGTTAAGTTTTGTGTTTTCGTTATTTATGTTTAAACAGCATACATATTGGGATGCAGACAAGTTTCATAAGAATAATGATAATAAAATGAAATCAAATCCGGTCAAAACATCATTATGAAGGGGAACTCCAGTTCTCTGGCCACTCATATTAAAAATGATTGAGGGCTTACAGAGGATATTGCCAATTACTTTAATACATTTACATAATAAAATGGCAAAATTAAAATCAGATACGACTAACAGTGTCCCCTCCTTATCATGTTCTCGCATACATGGCATTGTAATTAAAAATTAACAGTTCTCATTTGAAAATTGTCACAACCAGAACACTGAACATTTGATGAATTCACTTCACAATAATATGTCAGGCTTCTTAAAAAATTGTGGCAAAGTTTGTGTCCCAACGTCTATGTTGATGTCTTACACGTGGTGTCTTTCCTCCTGCAGTGGAAGGCATCAAAAACAGTTCCTTAAAACGAAAACGCTTCAGTTCATGGGGCAAATAGCCGAATCATTAGTCTCCTCTCAGTTTCCAGAAAATTACATTGCAAATCCAACACGTGTAGTGTAATTATTCTGAACAGATCTCCCTCATTGTTTCAATAAGGGTCCGCTCACATTCTGCCTTCATTCCTCTTGGCGTTCAAGTTATATTACTGCTGCACTATTGTCTCCATCACTGCTATTTTGTCACACCATCAGAATCACTTTACTTCCCATTTCAGTGTGAGTTCAATGATCAGTCTGCTATGTTTTGTGTCAGTGTGTGACCCTTGCTCTTAAAATTCATTGCAGTTCTGTCAGTTTGACAGAGCTGCAATGAATATATGAACAGGGATCCTACATGCAGACCTCCTCCTCCTCATCTGGATGTCCAAGGCTTCCCAGCCAGTCCCTATCAGACGTCTGCTCTGCTCCACCATCACCAGCGTCTGGACTTTGTGGATCCATCTGCATCTTTAGACACATATCTCTCACAAGGTTTCTTTCCAGGGTCTTTGAAATCTTTAGCTTCCTTCCTCTGTCAAACTTGTTCTGTACTGTGTGGCTCTCGTTGAATGTCTTGATAAAACTTCTCACTTCACTTCTTGACACGTAGAAACACTGTGATAACTTTGTATGACCTTCTCCTGCTTTGTAAGCATCAACAATTCTTTTTCTCAAGTCTAAACTTATTTCTTTTGTTTTTGGCATGATGCTTTCTCAAGTGACAGCTCAAATCCTTAATGAAGTTTTTATACTGTGTGTAAAGTGTAGGGCAATCACCAGTTTTAACTTGATTGATTGACTGATTACAAGCTGTGAGCATTACAAAGTTAAAGCACATGATTGCACAACAGTGGTTTGTGCTTTGACTCAATAAAAAGGTCAGTTCTTAAAGGGGTTAATCATTTTGACCCTGGTAGTTTTTGATTTTGTTAAATAAATTTGTTACAGTGTGCAAAGTAAAAATAATGTAAGCATCCAAAATAAAACTAGGATCTTTGGAAAAGCTGTGTTAAAAATTCCTTGATTTGTTTAACAGCAGTTGGGAATTAAAAAAAAAAATTCCTAGGGGGGGCTAATGATTTTATCTTCAACTGTATAGACAACATACTGTATGTGACACAACCACATGACAAGGCTTATAATCTATGACTTCAATGCAGCAGTAGGGCAACGTTAGTGAGAGCCCAGTCCTCATCCCCTCCTGTACATATGTTCGCACCAGCACCTTGCATGTGTGAATGAGAAATTAATGTTGTAGTCTCTCACCAAGTTCCCTGTTTTGGATTTTAAAAGTTCCTTGTTTGGCAGAAGGCAATGAGCTTACTATAATCTCTCTGACAGCTGTACAATCTGCTGTGTTCTCCCACAAGACAGCTGCCTTGGTCTGCAAATGATTGAACAACGTTTTAATTAATGCTGGTCTTTAATTTCATAAAATATATTACCTGTGCAAATTTAACTAAAGTAGCAGAACACAGATGGATGGGCCAGTGACAATAATATTACATCCTCAACAAACTTAAATTAAAACATCTGGCAATTAGGAGCTAACAACCCAGTTTCAAAACTACAGCGAGTCAATCAGACCAAATTACTGGAAATGACACTGTCCCTCATGGTCTCAGCATTTAGACGGTTCGTATTGATAGCTTTGAAAAATGTCAGTTGTTAATTGGTGTGTTACATCTCTGGCCTGTTGCACTTTTTTCCTCAATTATGTAAACAGAAGCCCCTGTCCTGGGTTGGCGCCTGCACTCGGACCCCGCTTATCCTGTCGCCGTGACTGCCACTCCTCCATCCTGCCTCCTGCCACCTGCCTCCGCTGATTGGAGCGACGGCCCACCGCTGCTCTCCAATCATCCTGTCATCACAGCGCTGCTTTAAAGCTCCACATAGCGGTCACTCGGCGGCACCTGTAATTAGACATCAGCAGTTTCCCTTGTGTCTCTTTGTTTGTGATTCTTGAACCTTGAACTCCTGAGAGTTGTTTGTGCATGTAAGAGATACTTGTTTTTGTCACCGGAGGCTGGGACAGGATAAGTGTTCTGGTTGCGTGCAACCTTAAAGTTAATGTTAGACACCAGGGGCCTCATTTATCATCAAAGGTTCTACATTCTGTCGTACGCATGAAATTTAGAGTGTGCGTAAGTACAAGAAAAAATCTGTATTTATTAAACGTGCGTACGGGGGTCGTCCGCACATCAGTGTTGATAAATCCCACTTGTTCTTAACCTCGTGCACTTTGTCTTCAGAAACACCTCCAAATCACCATATACGGCAACAACACGCCTCTTTATAAAGCAAGGGAAGATTTCTTTTTTCCTCACCTGTCGTCATCATCGTGGCAAAAGGGACTGGATGAGGGCAAATCAATACCAAATGTTCACCCAGTGGAGAACCCTGATCACTACAGATGAGATGTTTAATAACCATTTTAAGTCCAGCAAAACATTTCCCACAGAGATGTTCTGCTCAATGAATGAGTCGTGCGTTCCTCCAAGCCGCCAGGCAACAACGTTGGATAGC